TCTTGTAAGCAGATGGAGTTGGAGGGGGCGAAACTTAGGAAGAGGTTTCTATGCTCAGAAGAGAGGATCATAGAGATGACGGTGATGATGTGATGGTGCTGGTGGTGGTGCTGGTGATGTGTGGGTGTGTGCCGGTAGATGTTGGGTGGTGTTGGTCAGGGGGAAGAGGACAGACTTGTCACAGGCCCTGCTTACCAGTCCAGACCTTCCCTCAGCTCACTGTAACTTTTATTTTATTTTATTTATTTATTTATTTTAAATATATTTTATTGATTTTTTACAAAGAGGAAGGGAGAGGGATAGAGTTAGAAACATCGATGAGAGAGAAACATCAATCAGCTGCCTCCTGCACACTCCCTACTGGGTATGTGCCCACAACCAAGGTACATGCCCTTGACCGGAATTGAACCTGGGACCCTCGAGTCCGCAGGCCAACGCTCTATCCACTGAGCCAAACCGGTTAGGGCTCACTGTAACCTTTTAAGGCACTTCCACAAGTGGGGCTGTCACCACGCCTTCAAGCCTTTGCACCACCTACTAAGGCTGGGGAAGTCGAGTCCAGGGCCTGGGGCAGGTTGGGAGAGAACTGGTGTGGGGAGGGGCGCTGGGAGTCCTGGGAAACCTCATTCCCCAGGCCAGGTGCAGAGGCCGGGCCTGGCCGCCAGCTGGGGGTCTGGAAGTAGGATGGGGGCTCCAGCTGCCTGTTTGTTCAGCACAAACTGAGGTTCCTGTTAGGAAGTGTCCTTGTTTGTGTCCAGACTGATTTGTTTGCTGTTCACACTTGTATGGCGAGCTGCCCCTGGGACTCCTGCCTTCAAACATAGGGGTGGGCGTGGGAAGGGGGGTCACGGGTCCAACTCAGAGCTTCCAGGGTCTAGAGAACAGTCTGGGGAAATCAAGGTCTACAAGCTCCTGATGAGGAGAGGGGCGGGTTGGACGCCACTGGGAGCTCAGCCCTGCTTTCTGCTTTTCCAGAGAAAAGCCAAGTGGGGCTTGTCCAATGAGGAGCCCCGAGTCAGAACGGACAGCAAGTCCAACCTCTACAAACCAGGGGAGGAACTGGGGGCTAAGTTCTCCAGGACACTGTACAGGAGCTCTGTAGAGACAGAAAACTCGGTCCTGCCTCCAGGAATCTGGAGCTCCAGCGGCGGGAGGGATGCTACGCTTTCCCGGACTGTGCTTTCCTGGGCTTGGTGCTCACCGCCTGGGTAGGCTATGCTCACCCACAGAACAGGGACTCATGAGGCTGGCCTGTGTGAGCGACTGACAGGGCACAGAATCAGGCCCCTCCCGCTGTCAGGATTTGCAGGCTCTGGTCTGGTTCTACATCTCCCTCACTCGGGCCCCCTGTGGCGTGGGATGATAGATTCAAAGGGTGCAGAGCCAATTCGTGGAGGGACCATATCTCAGAGAGGAAGGGAGAGGAAGAGAGAGATAGAAACATCGACGATGAGAATCACTGATTGGCTGCTTCCTGCACGCTCCACACTTGGGATGGAGCCCGCAACCGGGATGTGCCCTGACCAACTTGAATCTTGACCCTGGTTCATAGGTTAACAGCCACTGAGCCACGCTGGCCAGGCCCATCATGCTTTTGTGAGTGCCTGCCCTGCCTGGGTGCCGTCCCAGCAAGGCCAGGGGATCGCAGCGCCCTGGGAGAGGTGGGGAGCGCCTGGAACCGGGCTCTCAAGGGCGGTCCGACAGTGTCGTTCCCGCGGGAGGCAGCAGGGGGCGCGCGCAGACCGTGTGATGGGGGCGCCGGGCTCCTCGGCTGCGGGCGGCCACCGGACCTCTGGGTCTCAGCCGCCCCCGCGAAGGCGTGGATGGAGGGAGGGGTGGTGTTTTTATTTTTTAGAGTAGGGTTTTTAGGGCCCCCGGGGGTGGGGGCCGGGCTCCCACCCTCTCCGCGGCCCGCACACGGCAGAGTCACGCCGGGCCGGCGCCGCCGCGGGCGGAATCCAGGACGGGGGATTGAGGCGGCCGCCGCGTGTTTGCCCAGCGCCCGCCGCCGCCGCCGCCCGCCCTAATCTCCGATACACTTGCGAGTTGGCTTCCTGCCCGGGGGCCCCCGCTCCCCGAGCAAACAGGCGGAGCGCGGCGCTGCATCCCAAATGGGGCATTGGAGCCCCGCGGGAGGAAAGCCGAGCGCGGCCGGGCGGCTGTAATTGCCCTTCTCCGCCCTAATCCTCCGCCAGCCCCTCCCGCCGGCTGCGGCCCATTGATTAGGGCGGGAGCCGCGGGCTCTGCCCCGCTCCGGCTCCGGCTCCGGGAGGGGCGCCCCCAGCCCCGCCGTGGGCCTAGGAGACAGGCAGGACCCTCCCCCACCCCAATCTCCCTGGGCCCCAGCCCATCGGGTTGTCAAAACTTCCCCAGGCACACCCCAGGCTGCGGGACGTGGGACCCCAGACCACCCTGTCCTTTGTGTGATGAGGCAGGGGGTGCAGAGCGTCCGCAGGGGCCTGGCGGGGCTCGACACCCTAAGACCCACCATGAAGCTGCGGTCTGGGAGGCCCCTGTGTGCCCCAAACCCGCCTCAAGGCCCCCAGTGCTCTGCAGGGGCCAGGCCCACTTTCACTTTCGGCGGCTGCCCAGGGGGCTGGACCTGCAGCACCTCAGTCAGCCATGCACGCCCTGCACACAGGGGTCCAAGCTGCATGACAGACACGGCCTTTACCCCGGTAGTTAATGAGAGAGGTCAGTGCAGGGGAAGAGAGAATGGGGTGACATGGGAGCCTTTGGAGGCAAGCCCGTGGGCTCCTGGTGATGGCTTCTAAGGGACAAGGCCTGGTTCCCAGCTGGAATGAGTTTTGTTTCTTCCCTCCCCGTCCCCAGCCTTCCATGCAGGGCCCCCAGCATGCACTTCTCCCTCCCAGAACAGCCACCCCAAACCGGGGAAACATCCCTCGGAGTCTGTCTCTGTGTTTGGGCCCCAGTTCAAGGCTGGGCTTCTCTGTGCAAGGGCGAGGCCCCGGAGGGTCCTCCGACACCCCGAGGCCCAGGGGAGAAAAGCTGGGGCCGGGGTGGAGGCTGGACCAGGGCACGGGGAGGTCTTCAGAGATGGAACACAAAGGCCGATGTAAAGAGAAATCAGGCTGGACGCCTCGATGGCAAACTAGAGCCTCATGTCTCAGCGCCTCCCCTTAACAAGCCCTGGGCAGGGCTGGGACAAGTGAGGAGCCGCCGAGGGCACACATTTAAAAAGGCATTCCCTCTCAAGGTCATATAAGTGCAAGGTCAACATCTGAGAGGGAGTGCCTTCTGGCCTCACCCTGGTGCCAGGCCTGCCCTCATTGCCCTAAGGGAGCCTTCCCCTGGCCCAGTCACCTGTGGGTTCACCTCAGAGACTAACACCACCTGGACCTCACCCCCACCCTTCACGTGGTTGGTATTGACTGTCTCTCAGCTGGGACAGAAGCTGCATGAAGCAGGGACCTCGTCCCTCAAAGTCACTGCCAATAGCAGTACCTGAGTCGGCGGTGAACACTAGATAAACATATAGCTGATGAATGAGTAAATGGCCCTGTATGTCCCACCCGCCTCATCCCCAGCCTGAATGCTTCCCTCTAGACACGGCCAGCTGCAGGGCCACCCCCGGGGATTGCTGGCTTTACTGCTAACCCCATTTAATCCTCGGTCCCTCCGCCTGATGGTGAATTTGCACAGTTGGTGTGTTTTTTATTCTCGCGTCCTCTGAGACCAAGCCCCACTTCTCCCCCCAGCCAGATGCCACCTCCCTGAGGGCAGGGGCCAAGCCTGGCCTGGGATTCCTTCTCTGCCCTGCAGCCCAAACCCCAGGGCGGCCTCAGTACATGCTCATGGTGAACACTTGTGACCTCACGCCCATCTGGGGACTTTGGACAAGTTCTCCTGATGCCTTGTTTCTGGTTAAGGAAAGAGTGTGAACCAGGCCACATGTCTTTGCAGTGACAGAGCTGGCTGAAGGCAGGGCCCTGCACCCCGGAAGCTCTGGGATGTGTTCCTGCGTTTAGTAATTGCATCATGTATGTAGCGGTGGGCTGGTGGGTGCTTCTCTGCTTTCTCATATCATACCAGGTACATGGCCAGCAACTCCAATGAAGGTGACGATGCCCGTGTGAGCGGGTGGGAGTGTGTGTATTTGTTGGGGGTGGGTGTGTGTGGTGTCTGCTGGGTGTGAATGTGTATGTGTGTGCCTGGGGAGTGTGTGTGTGTGTGGTGTCAGCGGAGGGTGTGTGTGGATTCTGTTGGATCTGAGCGCAGGTTGGTGGGGGAATGTGGCTGTGTGTGTGTGTGTGTGTGTGTGTCTTCTGAGTATATCTAGTGTCTGCGTTTTTAGTGTTTTGTAACGAGGAGGGTCAATGGTAGCTGTGGGGTGTGTCTGCAGAGTATGTGCAGTGCTGGCTGGAATGTAGGGGTGTCCTGTCTGCTCTGTGTGCACCTAGGTGGTTGGGGTGCCTGCCTGCAGGCTGTATTGTGATGCTGCCTTCCAGAAGGCTCTGTGTAAAATGCATGGTGATATCCCCGACCAGTGCCCCTCTGCTTGGCCAGAGCCTGCTGTCCCTGGCCTGGCTGGCGAGGGAGGCATGAACCGAGGGCCTGGGAAGTACATTGCTTCAGGAGGTCAGGACGCTGAGAGATGGCAGTGACTGCTGTGACCAGGGGCATGGAGACCCCACCAGGGACAGGTGTGGCTGCCATAAGTGGACAGAGGCCAGAGCCTGGAGGCCTCAAATCCTGCTGAATACAAATGGCAAGGTCCCGTGCACCACGTGGAACCAGGGCAGGGGAGTGGGAACATCAAGTCTGGGTCTCAGTCCAGGCAATACATTCAAGCTGCGGGGAATTCAGGAGAGGGGCCCTGGGAGAGGCTGAGCTCAGATGGTTGGGGCGGGCGGGAGAGAGAAGCAGGCCAGCTGGGGAGGGCCAGGGCGAGCCCATGGCACCCTTTTGGCAGCTGCTCCATGCCAGGGCACAGCACCCAGTGAAGGAAGCAGGAGCAGGAGCTCAGCCCCACTGCCCACCTGGTACAACCTGCCCAGCTGTACACAGTGACCCTGGACCTTGGCCTTGGAAGCTGTAACTTCCAGTTCCTCCAGGGCAGCGAAGAGGACGGCCTCCTCGGGCTTTGGAGCAGAGGGAAGGCCTGGCCGGCTGGGGAGCCTGGCTTTGGAGCAGGATAGCTGGAGGCCTGTTGGCTGGGCAGCCCATCTTCCGGGTCCTGGGCTGGCCTGCATGGCGAAGAAAGGGCACAAGGAGGCACCAGCAATCCAGAACCTTCTCACCCACACAGAGTGCCAGAACGGCCACTCATCACCCATAGGAGAGCGACAATGGGGAAGACACGACAAAAAAATGGAAGGAGGCTTGACTGGGAAGGGCATCAGAGAGGAGACTGACAGGAGAGGGGGAGCCTCCTGAACAGTAACAGCAACACCAAGGCGACCCACTGACTAGATTTGTGACCTCTGACTACTAACTTCTTTCTGGCCTCAGTTTTGTCAACTGATTAAAGGGGTTGGACTAAAACAACTTCAAGGTTCTTTTCCCTGTGACTGGGACCACAGACAGAACCAGCCTGGCAGCGGGCTGGCCCAGATGACGGTTGACACCGGCTCCTCCTGTCCTCATTGGCAAGGGAGTCTGGGTGGGGAAGCGAAGTGTGGATGCCTCAGTGCAGCCCCCCCCCCCCCCCTAAAACCAGCCCAGGGTCCACGCCCTGGTGTCTGCAGTACCGTGCTCACCTGTGAACGAAGACTTGAAAGGACTATTGTGGACTTTTAGTTCCAAGGAAGGCAGCATCTTTCTAACTCAACTCGAGCATAAAATTCAGAGCTCAATCATCTCTAGACTTCCAGGCTGAGGTTCTGGGAAACTCCAGCAAGCCCAGCCCCTGAGCAGATAGGAGTTGCCTTCCACCATTTCTTTTTTCTTGGTCGCTGGGGCCTGGAGGACAGAGAAGGGCAAGTGGCAGAGAATTCAGGGCCTTTGGAGGTCACAAAAAAAGTGGAGGAGGCGGAGGGGGCTGGGCGCCTCAGCACCCAGGAGGGAGGGGGAAGTGATGAGCAAGATTTTTCACACCTTCAGTAAAACAGAAAAAAAAGATTATTTCTCCTATTTTCTTCTCTGAGATTAACGATAAACGGCCTATCCCCTAAAAGAAAACGATAAAGACTCTAATTTTACTTGGAGGCGTAGAAATGCCATTTCTACGCAAAACAGGGAGCCCGTAATCAGACCAGAGCGGAGCAGCGCTTTGATAGGAAATGTTTTCCTCTCTCCCCCTATTGCGGCCCCTCCTGCCCCTCCCAAACCAAGATGCCCGACAGCTAAGAACAATGCTCAATAAAGTGAAATAATATTTTAGTCAAAATAGGCCGAGACTGCTCCCAGCCAACTGTAAATTAGCATTTTGAGGGCAAATATGCAGACAATTTGAGATAATGAAGCCTGATTATTCAATCCAATGAATGTTAACGAGGGAGCAGAGGCTCCACGGCCTTATCTCACTCCCTTCGATTTATTTTTTTAATCGTTTCACATTTGAACTCTTTATTTGTTTCTGTTTTATGTGCCCCCTCCCTTCTCCCTGTATTTCTCTCTCTTACACACACACACACACACACACACACACACACGCAGTCTCCTTCCCTTCTCCCCCTCCTCCACTCCTGCCCAGGAAGCAGAAAGACCAGACTGGCCCTTGGGGTGGGCTCAGCAAGCCCCATAGAGCACCCACTGTGTGCATGGCCCTTGTGGAGCCGGAGGGGCTGGGGCCGAAGTGCAGTAAAGAGACAACACAGACCCTGCTTTGCAGTGTTTAGAGCAGGGCTGCATATAGGATCTGGGAAAGTCATGCACACTTATAGAAAAACTAGAGGGCCCTAACCGGTTTGGCTCAGTGGATGGAGTGTCAGCCTGCGGACTGAAGGGTCCCAGGTTCGATTCTGGTCAAGGGCATGTACCTTGGTTGCGGGCATATCCCCAGTGGGAGGTGTGCAGGAGGCGGCTGATCGATGTTTCTCTCTCATTGATGTTTCTAACTCTCTATCCCTCTCCCTTCCTCTCTGTAAAAAATCAATAAAATTTATTAAAAAAATAAAAAAAAAAACTAGAGGCCCAGTGCACAAAATTAGTGCAGGGGGAGGGGCTGTCCCTCAGCCAGGCCTGCACCCTCTCCAATCTGGGACCCCTCGGGGGATGTCTGATTGCCTCTCGAAATCTGGGACTGCTGGCTCCTAACCACTTGCCTGCCTGCCTGCCTGATCACCCCTAACCACCTCTGCCTGCCTTCCTGATCACCCCTAACTGCTTCTCTACTGGCCTGATTGCCCCTAACTGCTCCCCTGCTGGCCTGATCACCCCTAACCACCTCTGCCTCACCCCGCCCCGCATCCGGGACCCAGGATTCCCCCCTCCGGCCAGCTGCAGGCACCTAGGACCCGGGCTGGCTTCGCCCAGGCCGGCCGCAGCCGCAGGGAACCATGGGCGGGCAGCTTCGCCTGGGCCACAGCTGCATGTTCCCCGGGACCACGGGGCGGGCAGCTTGTCCCTCTCCTGGGCCACAGCCTGGCTGGTCCCCATTCCTCTCTCGTGAGCTCATTTGTGCCTGGCTGGTCCCCATTCCTCTCTCCCCAGTGTTGAGTGTCTGAGCCCTTACAGCGTGAGGGTGTGATGATGTGAGGGTGTGACAACCATTTGCATATTAGCTCTTTATTGTATAGGATATGCCAAGTGCCTGTGAGGTGCGGGAATCAGGGACGCACATGAAAGCTAAAACAACACAAGGAATGCCTTTAAAGCCTTCAAGCCACCCTCCTTGAAAAGGCCATGAGGAGCCACCTGCATCCCCAGGAGTCATGAAAACCGTTTAAAAATTATTCCTCACTCCAGGCCAGACGAACTTCATAATTTACAGGGCCCAGAGCAAAATGAAAAAACAGAGCCCCTCGTTAAAACATTATTGAGAATTTAAAGATGGTGATGACAGAGCATTAAACAAGCACGGGGCCTGCTTATGAGCACCGGGCCTGGGCATCTGCATAGGACACACCATGCGGCCGGCCCTGACTCCAGGAGCCCCGGGTGGAGGCAATCCAAGGAGGCTTTCTGGAGGAGGAATGAGGCAGGAACCCCAGCTGCTGAAGAGCTGTCAGCATGGCCTTGTTTCCCCTTGGCAGTACCTGTTCTGCAGCCCAGAAATGAGGCTTATTTGGTGCTGAAGACTGCTCTCACCTGGGTGAGAGCTCTCATGCTCTGGTGGCCCCAGAGTCTTAGCTTCCTCCTTTGACATTGGCCCTGCTCTTTCCCTCACTAGTTCCTGCCACTGTCCCTATGGGCCCTTGCTCCAGTGCCAGGCCCTGCTGCCCGCTTCCCTTGATGCTCATTGAGTGCCCTCATGCTGTGTACAGCAGGAAGTCTCCTCCCAAGCATGGCCTCACTCCTTTTCTGCCCTCTTTTTCAGCATATCCTCTTCCCACCAAACCCCCTGCTCAGTGAGGCTCATGCTCATCACACTATTCAGACCCCGTGGCGCCTCTGCTCATGCTGGGCCTCTCACCTGGAGAGTCTTCCCCTCCCATCCACCCTTATTTTCATCCTTCTCTCAATACCCAGCCAGAGCTTTGGTGCCAAGCAGCCCTGGTTTATTCCCAGCTCTGCCCTATATTGGCCTGTGCTCTTAGGAAGGTTATTTCACCCGTCTGAGCCTCAGTTTCCCTGTGAGTAAATGGGGATGTACTAGGCCCTGTCTCATGAGGTCAGTGGGAGGACAGAATGAGCTGCTGCAGGGAGCTGGCCCTCGTGAGTGTGCATACATGTTAGCTCACCACTCTGAGAGGCCATTGGACCAGCTGCCCTCTCAGAACATCTGTACCAATTGGAGATCCCATCACACAGTGTGGTCCATGGTCTTGAGCTATTTCCTCCACTTGGCTGAGTCTCCCATGAGTGGGTGGTAGACACTGAGGATGGGCTCCCTCAATCACTCAAGCCATCCTCCTTTTGGTTGGAGGGATTGGAAAACCAAAAACGGCATTTACCAGACTCCCTTGCAGCTAGGGTTCTGGAAGTGAATATGGATTGTACCCATCAGTTATACTCATGAAATTTGGAGGGTGGACATGAGGCCAAGGCTGTTTTCTGCATCTGGTTGTTTCTAATGACCACCAAGATTGTAGAAAAATGATTTTTTTTTTTCCTGCAACAGCTTCCATAATTTACTCTCTAACTTCTGGGAGTCAAGAGTCAAGGACGGTGGTGACAATGTCAGTAGTGGCTGACTCTGGTTTCTTGGTCTCTGTATTACAACTACAATGGTTTCAAACCTGTAGTTCAGAGAATGTTCTCAGAAGTTGGAGTGCAACTGTAGTCAATTCAATACTAGTCAGGTTAAAACCCACTATGTTGGCCCTTCCAATAATTTTGAAAGCACCTAATTCTCTATATTAAATCTCTTCTTGGTTAAAATGTCCAGAGGGTTTTTTTTGTATAGAACCTTGGTAGACACAGGGATAAACCATGCCTACTTTCCCTCCTAAAACCCACACACAGCACCTAACACAGGCCTCCTTTTCCCAAAGAAAGCCTCATCCTTCACATTAGCAGAACCAGTCGGTGCCAGCCTGGCCTCTGGGCTGCCGGCTCATGTGCTGGTCATTGCCTGTTTGCACATCCATTCATTTCCTGCTCGTCCCCTGTTCTGTCCCAGATTCAATGAGCCAACTCCTGCAAATTACGTTTCCCAGCCAGTTCTGTTCATTGGTTTCCTGCTGTGTTCAACCAAGTTGAGGCCCCGTTGGGAGGCTGGAGGACAGGAGAAGGGGAAAGGCCAGGGTGCTTCTCATCCTTCCTCTCTTTCTCTTGTTTTCAGCGGCTTCTATTCTGTGCAGCCACCTTCTGCCAGGCATTTCCCCCCAAATGACTCCAGCTCCCAGTTGTTGTCCCCTCCAAGTTGTAGCTTTGACCTGGTAGCCCCAGCTCTTGGCTCTGGTAAATATCATCTCCTCCTGCAAATGTTAATCTTGGAGTTGCCTCACCATCCCATTTTCAGCTCTTCCAACACTTTTGTAACTGGGTTCTCACATTCAAAACCCTCTGCAGCCAGCTATCTGGTGTGAACGGGGCTTGCAGGACATACTGGGGAGTGGGGACTGGGGAGGAGCCAGGGTGAATGGCAGCTTTCACCAACACCTCACTCTTCTCTTCTCGACATGTTTACTCACAGGCTGTCTGGAAA